TATCAGTCAAATTTATAGTACATATTGATAGAAATTTGTTGGTGTTAATATATGTACATAAAATGTTTTTTGCATGTAATGTGTGTGTCAAAACAAGAAAGAAGTTATAAAAAGTAAAAAAAATATATATATGAGGTGAAAATTTGCTTTTGATTGGTTGGTTGTGCTTGAAATTAGGTGACTACAAATGTGAAAAACACAAGTTTCCCAACTGTGGTTCACAGACTAATTAACAGAGACTTAACATCACCCCCCATCACCCCACCCCCGATTCTTGACCCAGGACCGGCAGGCGTCTAGCAGCCTGTTTACATGTTGTTATGTCACACTTTTAACAGCATGCGGTTAGGAACAGAAAGGTTCCTCTAATCGAGGATTCCTCTCTGCCCCCCATCAATTTTCTCAGGACAACAACTGTCTGTGTATGTAGGTCTGGGTCCATAAAGGGATCCCTGGAGAAGGGATCTGACCCTGGTCAGTAGGGATGTTTGTACAGATGTGTGGTTCCAAAACAGAAAGGCTAAACCCCAGTACCTCTCTTGCGGTCCTGCCCAACCTTTCCTAAGAAAAGTTAGCTGAAGTTCTATTACTGCTGCTCATGTGATTCAAATGTACAGACTAAGATTTCTTGCATGTGTGAAGAAGAAAATGTTGAAAAGATTTAATTTTACAGGTGCAGTGAGGCAGTGCACCTGCAGAATGCAAAATTATTTTTCTGTAAATTTTCAATAAATAATCGAATATGTTTTGCATGAGTTTACAGTAGGGATTATAGTGATATGAAACATACTCAGAGCAATTTACTGCAATTTCATATCTGTGATATTTCAATACATTACTGGGGAATAATAATATTTTGCTATACGTCGTTACACTACGGCCCTGCATTTTTACCGGTGTATTGGAAAAATAATGTAGAAGTTGACAGTAATTTTAATAAACATAAATTACAAAAAAAATTTCATCCATCCATACATCTACTCCCGGTTCATCCATCGGGGTGATGGTGGGCTGGTGCTTACAGTATGTCCAGCAGTCTATGGGTCAAAAGGCGGGGTACTCCCTGGGGCTGGAATCAAACCCAGGACCTTCTTGCTACAAGGCAACAGTGTTGCAAATTGTGTAGCCACAAATAAACATAGTCACTATGAATTTCCAATCATTGTACTACTACCCCTCAACCAGCCCCTCAACTAACAACTCAGAGGAGAAGTCAACGTTAGCCAAACGGCTTTTTCATTAACCAATAAATGTTTTTTTTAAATACAGCAAATGTTAAGATATTCAATAATTGCATAAATTAGGGATGCACGATATAATCGGCCCCCTATCGGTATCGGCCTGTATCGGCCTTTAAACTGAATATCGGACATCGGCCACCCCACCGATATTTAACCCGATATTTGATCAGATTCTGAGTTTCTAAAGTCTAAAAAAAATAAAAAAGAAAAAAAATACTACTTCTTCTTCTTCCTCAAAAACATCTTTTTTACAGACTTAAAAACTTAAAGACGAGGGAAAAAATATTGGTACATTAAAATATCACAATATCTTTATATGCTGATATATTGCCATTTAAAAACACTATATCAATCTCTTTTACTAATGAAATATTGCTATATGTCATCGTTATGCTACGAAATCCCCCGAAAATTCACCAAATTTTGCCATATTTTTATATGTTGATATATTGACGCAGTATCGATCTATTTTACTAACAAAATCTCACAAGAATTTGCAAAATATCACAACAGTTTGTAACAGAACGATGAAATTTCACGAGATTTTGAAAGTAAAATAGATCGATACCGCGTTTTTAAAAATCTATTTGATATCAGCATATGAAAATATATTTGAGTATATTATTTTTCAAAGTGTCAGAAATGCTGTCAATGGTAGAACCATCATGCATCTGGGTCGGCGTATGTTTTTTTTTTTGTTTTTTTTTACCAGCCTAGGGGAAGAGTGGAGTAATTGTTTTCTGTTGGCTTGCTTGCTTAAGGAGCAATAAACTGCTGTAAAGAGGTTAGGCATGAGTCTAAATCTCTAATATTAAAATGAGTCCACATAATTGTCATGATTTTCTTAAGAGATCTGATCCATTTGCAGTAAACCAATCAGAGAACCTAGGTAAAAGTTTGAACAGGTTTATTGATAAGGACAGGGGGGGTAGGATTCAGGAAACTCAGTGTGCTGGTGAACCGGAACTGGAAGAGGGAAGGGAAGTATCAGCGGTTAGTTCAGGATCCGTGGGAACTTTGAGCGATGACTGGAGAGACAGAGAAAACGGGACTCACATTGGTTGAGAAGACCTCTTCTCCCAGAATTCAGTTAGTGTGGGTTATCTGGAGATAGAGACTCGTTGGAGGGTGGACAGGTTTAGACTTGGTTGGATCCTGAGGAACTATTGAGCTGACTGTCACATGGGAATCCAGCAGGACTTGAACGGATGAGTGTCTGTTGTTGTCTGCTTCATGTTCTTGGAAAAACAAGAAGCAAACATGGGCATCAGTCCTCTTTCAAGACTGATGCCCATGAAGCAACTGTCAATGAGCAAAGATGGTTTCAGTTTTAAATGAAGTTATGTATTGCAGGCATCTGGTGTTGACCATTGCCTTTTCCTATGTGAATCCCTAATAGACTTGTAATCAGTGCTGCACCGATACCAGTATCAGGCGGGGCACCGATACTGCACTAAAATGGTGGTATCGGTATCAGCGAGTACCGACAAATATTGCACTGAAACCATTTTGAGAGACAAAGTTTATTCAACTATTTATCCCCCATTCCAGGCAGGCAAAAACAAAGTTCTACTGAATTCACTTTGCATTAGTCTTTTTCCTGCTTCACAAAGGTAGGCAGCTGCTTGACAAAGCCATGATGGCAATTATTTTACATCCAAGTAGTATGCAGTTCTTCATATATGCACACACACATATCAATTTCAAACAGATGATATCAGTATAGTATCAGTATCGGGGCCAAAAAATAGCATCGGCGCAACACTACTTGTAATCCAAACTTCTTGGGTCTTCCTTTAAGAAACTCTCACCATAGATTTGGTGACGCCCAAGCCCATTTAATTGTATTTGCTTGAGATAAATGCTGTGAGACCAAATTCGACAATGTTGAATCTTGGTAACTTGCTAACAAAATCAGAACATGAACATGTCATGAGATAAAGTTCATTTAAAAGTAATGTAAATATTATCATACTAAATTAACAGTGTAGTGCTGAAAACAGTTATGCCAGTTATGCATGTAGTTTAACTTTTCCATTCAGCCTGGAAGAGGAAAACTGTGCCTTCTATTAATGTAATGTCAAGTTCGGTTATGTAATTATTTACAGTATTTCACTGTAATAATACTGTTGAATCATGGGAAATCATATGTTGCTCTGATATCAGATACCTTGTTGTGATATAGCAGTTTTATTGTAGGATTTTACTATAAATGAGAAGTAAATGCTGCAAAATCTAAGGAGACTGTATTTTTTTACATGTGTTCATTGGGATATTACAGGGAAACTTAATCTTATTATATTATCGTACAATAATATGGTTAATTACTGTGAAAAGCTGATCATTTCTAACAGTGTATGCATCACTAAACACGCTAAACCAGATGTTGAATACAATCTATAAGAGGTCATGTTAATATGATATCTCAAGCCAACAGAGGAGCACATGAGAAAGAAGGTGCTCCAAATTATTGGAGAAATTTGTTAGAGTACCAAGACTTAGACTTAACTGACTTTTCACATTCCAAGGAAACAATAAAAACTGGTGTTTTCAGATAATTTTCCTCTGACTGAGCTTTAACTATTTTGCAAGAAAGAATGGGGAAGCTGTTCATTTTCTGGATGCACAAAGCTTGATTTGACAAACTCAAGACAACCTGCTGCTACAGCTATATCGAAGATGCAGGGAAAATACATAAAACAAATTATTTACTCAGTTTGACAGTTTTTTTTTTTTTTTTTTTTTTAAGGGAGGCAACAAACAAAAGAATGACATGATAAACAGGCGAATAATTCATAATTTAAAATGATCATTAATTTATCATAAATTTATCTAGTATTATTTCTTAAATACAGTGGTCATAACAGGACCAGTTCTACAGGGGAACTGGCCTCTGCTGGCCCCTGACTAAAACTGCTCATGCCCACACAGATTTTTTTCTTTATTTATATAAAGAAAGTGTATTTTTTATTAAACTTTTTTGTATATTATACATTACTTTGCATTGATATAACTCACAGAATTCTAATGAAAACACATCAAAGTTTAACATGAATTCTTGAGGGTTCAGCTCTTGAGGGTTGAGCTCTACGCTGAATTAAATTTAAATAGCTTATATTTTTACCATGTTTTTTACTAAATAAACTATAAAACCTTCATTTGTATTATAAGGTGCATTAAGTTTCCATAAATTGTCTTTTGTTCTGGCCGTTAAACCTAATCTTAAGTTTGTATAAGCCCCTTCACTGACTTATCCAGCTGCCTTCTTGCTTTGCTCGCTGGAAGAAACTTGATTGGTTTAACTGAACTAAAGCAAACATCCTGCTAAATGTTTATCATTGCATTATTTGCTGTGGATGGTTACTAAGAAGTTTCAGTGAACATCTGTAAGATGAATTATCACAAGTTTCTCTGCTGCCTTGCTGTAGGTCAGCTGGCGGTTAGGAATGCTGTCTTGCCGTATGGTTAGCACATGGGTCGTGTTTTCAGTTTCATTGTGAGCTGACTTTTCGGTTCATGGCCAAATGTTTTCTGTTCGCTCTTGGCTGACAGAAGGTACAACATGTCCCAGTGTTGACATGTTGAATAAAAAGTAGTTTTAAAAAGAATTCAAAACACCTAGCACATTCTATTTTTCTTGCCTCATTAAGTTTTATTCTACTCTCATATGTTGTTCCAAACACAAATGCTTCCAGTACTGATCCATGATTCACTGCATTCTGCAGATAGATTAGTAACAGATCCTGATTTGTTTTGCAGGAATTGAGGAGGGAAGTGAGTGCACAAAGTGTAAAAATGATTGGGTACTAAGGGCAGCCATCGCTCTCCTCTATGTGCTCTGTGCTCTTCTCACCATCGCCGTGGCTGTCCTTGGATACAAAGGTAAGTTAAAGTAGAAGTTAGGAGTTACTCTTTGTATGCAAACTTTACTATTGAATATGACAGACTTTCAACATGGCCTTAAAGGTATAGTGGAGGATGTTCTTTTTCCGAGTGGATCATCAAAATAGAGGGTCCTCCTAATTCTGGTGATATGTTTACGTAAGGCTGTCCTATGTGCTCGTCCCCATTTTCACTTATGGTTGTGATACTGACATAGTGGAAAAATGTAAAATCTTCTGTTGGAAAGTAAGCTTGTATGAGCGATGCAAACAGCAACTTTTAATGCTCTTGCATGTGTTTAATAGTCGTTCCCTCTAGGGAGTGGGTGCATTTTATTTTTTTTTTTTGGAAAGAGCTGATATTTTCAAAAAATCACGAAAATCCTTCACTATACCTTTACGTTTAAAAGGTGTTAGTGTTCAAAATCACAATTTGAGGCCTTAAAGGGTGTTCAATTAAGGTATTAAATTATTTGGACTTCAATTACATTATGTAAAGTTTCAAATTTAAATTTCCTATTTTAGTTTTCCATCTTTATCACAAATGCACCAGTTTACATTCATGTGTTATAGTTTAAGCCAAGGATTTCCACCGTACTGTCATAGAACTACAATGCCCTAACATCATAACTTGCCTGATAATCATGACAATATTCTGCTTCTGAAACTGAGCATCCAAACTGTTACCAAAGTGCTGAACAGCATAAAAAAGATAAAATAATAAAAACAACACATGTAATACAATATCAGAGGTGAATTCAAACATAAAATGCAGAGCAATATAATGTGAGCAGCAGCTTCCAGTGGGTAGAATGCCAAAAAAAAGACAAAAGATTTTAAAAGACTAAAATGTGCAATATCATGCTCTCCTAAGCCTTTCAAAGTTTATTATAGGCAAATGAATGGTAAAATAATACAATTTGCACAACAGGGTATTAAGTAGTAAGGAAGTATAAGTTGTTTTCTTCCAACCCTTTAGAAAAACACTTGCTAACAAAGTTAAGCCATCTCTTCTGTCTGGCTGCTGCCCATTTCAAGGTGTCATATCACACCTCTTCTGAAGGCCAAGAAATACATAGCTAAAAAAATAAATGGAACACTCAAATAACACATTCTAGATCTGAATGGATGAAATATTCTCATTGCATACATTGTTCTGTACAAAGTTGTTGTTGTTGCTGACAACAAATCCACACGAAAATCATCAATGGAAATCTAATCTATTAACCAATGGAGGTCTGAATGTGAAGTCACATACAAAATTAAAGTGGACAAACAGAAGTACAGGCTGATCTCTCTGGATAACTTCTTCATATCTATCACCAGTCTTAAATATAAAGTAATCCCAACAGCAGCTGAAAGGCAGTTGGATGCTCATCAACAGGCTATCCTAAGAAATTGCATATCTTCTGCATAGGGAAGCAGTTTCACTCTACAGTGGAAAATCTTTGATAATAGAGGCCCTGGGTACTTTAACCTGGTGTGGAGAGGGCTGTAAGTGCATGCTAAATTTACATTTGTCTATTAACCTTTAAGCAGATATGTAATAATATAAAGATATATAATAATAGAAAGAAATATGCTATGACTGAGTAAAGTTCAAAAATAAATTGTAAGTAGCAATATGGTAACGTTTGTTAATAGTGCATTTACTTCCTAACCTGAAATAGACTTTTGTTTTATGTCTGAATAAAAGATGTCTTTGGAGATTAGTTATGACTTGAACACAATGTGCCACACTGGCCTCGCTGTGAGGAATTTTAGTGGTTTCAACCCGAACAATATTGAATAGAGACAGAGACACATTTCAGTGATCCAAAGCAGTGTGAGAATAGGACTGTCCAATTTTACATAACCATGGCCCAAATCAATCACAACAAACCTGTTAAAACATCTTCAGCAAGATTTTCTAAAGTGTTAACTGGTTCATAAGCATTGAAAAGGCTTTTTAGCCAGTAGAAATATCTTCAATGGAAAATCTAAAAGTCACAATCTAAATCCAACTCTTTGTCTTTTAAGAGTTTTCAGGGTTTTTGTAGGTTTCCAGCTTTAGGGTTGAGTTGGCTTGGAGCCAATGTGATTTTGATGGTTTGCCTCTAACGTGTACCAGATGACCATGTGGGGACTACCATGGCTTAACAACCCAGGGAAGGCTTTTATTACTCTGGAGCAATTTGTTTTCTCGTGAACTACAAGTTGACTCACAAAGAACTGCAATTGTCAAAGACAGTTAAACTTTACAGAAAAATATTGTAGGCTGGATTCTGCTCTTTTGTTTTAGTCTATAGTGTTTAGTCTACCTCACCTACTGTAATATTAATCTTTGAATACCTTAACCCATTGTAGCTCTGTCTTCGCCACCAGCTCTGTCATTTAGTGTCTTAACCAGCTCCATTACCTATGTGCTAGTAAGTTAACAAAACCCTCTTCAAGATGTACTTTAGTTTGAGCGTGCAAAAAAATTATACTCCAGGCTCAGTCCTCCAAAAACAAGGCCCATAGACATGTCATTTATGGTCATATCAAATCAACCAATCATTGTACTCCATTTAACGCATGAAATTGATGCTGTTTAAATCCCATTTTGGGATTAATACTCAGCTTCAGGCAGACAAAGATTTTGCCTTTAATTTTCGGTTACAAACATAGATGAGAGAGGGATTTCAATTTTAATGAAGGGTTAGTAGGAGATTAAGAAGGTATTTATTTTGATATTTTTAAGAGTAATTACACAGCTTTCACAGTATTTACAGCAAAAACCAAAAATAAAATGATCCAATAAATTTTATTTAAAACAGACAACATATATTCCTTAATTTACTATTATTTTATACATTGATTACAACAGTATTGTCAGCTACATAGATTATGTTTATTATTACTGTAGCATTCTGGTTAATTGATAGTCTGACTCTTTAACTGAGGCTTATTATTCTTTTATTTTAGTGATTGGAGGCAGCATATGAACTCACCGTAAGAGCTATAAGAAAATAATTAATACAATTACCTTTCCTTTTAATCCAATGAATAACCGTTTAAACTTAGCAGATCCTAGATAAACACACAAATTATTCTGAAGTAGCTATAAAACAAACAAATTAGCTTAGCTATAAATAGTCCAATACAGTCCTAACATTTGCTACCGCCAACACATGTTGCACCTATCAAACAATGATCAAACTCATGCATGTGGAGCATTAACAAAAGTCACATTGTTTCTTAGCCAATAATGTAGTCAGGCGGTTAGCATCCACTTGCTTAAGAGCTTAATTCAGTTCATTTTTAGCTCCAAAGAAGTCCGTTCCTTGGTTGCACTTTATGTCGCATATTGCTCCTCTTATGGCAATGAAACATCGGAGTCCATTCAGAAGGCATCAGTTGTCCTGTCGTCTAACATTTCAATGTGGATAGCTCGACAGCAAAGGCAGGTGAAAAGCAAGCTGTATAGCTTTTTTACCTTCCATCCTTGTTTGGTGTGAAATGGACCAAAACAGTCCACCCCACAGTAGGTGAAAGGTGGTGATGGATCCACATCCTCAGATGGCAAATCTGCTATATGTTGTTCCTCGGTGAACCTTCTGAGTTTCCGACATGTAACACATTGATGTAAATACATTGCCACAGCTCTGTTCATTCCTGGAATACAGAATCCATTTCATTTGATCTCATTAATACTTAAACCATTTTCCCTGATGCTGCACTTTCTCATGACAATGAGCAAATATTGCCTTAGTGATGTGAGCATTTTTCGGCATAATGACTGGATGCTTTAGTGTGGTATGAAGTGATGCATTTTTCAGTCTTCCTCCCACCATCCTGATCAAGAAAGGCCTCCATCTGAAACGGTTTACACTCTTATACAGTGCTGTGGTTTGTCGAGTTGTCATTCCTATCAAGACGGATAAGACAAGCAACAGCATTTTATTGCCTTTGACCATGAAGAAAACTTTGACAAGCGATCTGAGAAACTTAACTGTTCCTGTGTCTGTGTTTTAGAATCTGAATCCTCTTCACTTCAGGATCTCCAGTCCGTATTTGTGTGCAAACATTTGTAGCTGGAGGAATCTCCTTTTCCTGCAAGAACTGATGTCCTCAAACCAACTCGATGTGAGAATCTCACTTGCACTTGATCCCCTGGATGCATCATCTGCAGGGTTATCTTTGATTGAGACATATCCCCATTGCTGAGGAGAGGAGCTGAGATGTATTCTCTGTATCTGATTTGAGACAAAGGTGTGAAAACGAGGTGCCTCGTGAATATATTCTGTTAAAACCAAGCTCTTCCTACAAAGTGTTGCTTGCTGTCGCTGACACAACAGCGGCTACCAGTTCTAGCCGAAATATCGTTGTGACCTTGATTGGAGCCTATCTGGATTTTCTCGTGACCAGAGAACAATGAACACTTCCATCTTTGTTCACTTGTCTTAGATATGAACACTGTCCATGATGACATGTACTCACATCAAAAAAATGATGTAGCTCCTTTTCCACAACTCGGCCTAAACCAGGAGGCACATAGCAGCATGGTATGGTGATTTTCTCCAAATTTGTAAGATCCTTCTACCACCACTCCCACACTGGTTGCAGTTCACAGGGGAGGGGATCGTCCCAGCCTATGCCATGTCTACATATTTCCTGAAGCACCCTTTTTCCAGTGAGCAGAAAAGGGGCAATAAATCGCAGCAGTGCAAGCTGAATAGCATCATCCACATTTTCTATACTGGTAACACCATCAGCAACATAAAAGTCCTCCATGATGAATTGTGATACAAGGGAAAATTTAGTCTCATTGTCTTTAGCGAGCTGTCTCAGTCCATAGTTAGAGCATCCTGTTGATGACACCACACCAAAGAAATGCACTTTCATTCTGAATTCCTGTGGCTCTGCATTGTTACTGTCTCTCCACCACAAGAAGCGTAGATAGACTCTGACAGTTTCATAAATATAGAACTGATGGAACATCTTTTCTATGTCACACATCGACACAATGTGGTGCTGCCG